ACTCACACATGGTGCACACAGTTAGTGGCCCCAGCTGTCCCGGTCATCACTCTCATCAGTGTTGGACTCATATCCGGATGCGATACCGGACTCTCTGAATCCTGGTGTGTCCAGTGTGCAGAGAAACTGGTTCTCTGGAGGAGAGCAACCACCCGACTGATCTTCATCCTGACCCTGTCCTGAGTCACGGTCCTGCTCCGGCTTCTTCTCCCGCTCTGAAGATTCTGAGAAGAAACAGAAGCCGTCGAGCCGAGCCAGGCTGTTTGAGAGAGGGAAGCCCTCTCGAGCGCTTGAGGGAGGATTCGTGTTGGGGTCACGTGATACAGCTGGCATGTTGGCACGCAGAGCAATTTCTAGAAGGCTGTCTTGAGATCCCACTGCAGGGAGGAAATTACATCATGGCATAGTCAGTGATAGAATAACTTAGAGGTGCCATTACTGAGCCGACTTTGTCAAGCTAAACATCTAATCACCAGAGTAAAGGCCTGTTCCCACCAAAAATGATAACTATAGAGGTATCTATAACAATAACTATATATGCATCAACATCAATGGACAAAAGCGTGCTGCTTTAAATGCTCAAGCTCTAAAATCTAGGGCCAGATTTACTAAACAGGGCAAATTAGGGTTAGAGCGCAATTCCATAAAAGCGCAGATGGAAGGGGAAAATTCACCAAATGAGGGTTTGCACTGGCGCAAGCTGATAGTAAATCTGGCCCTTAATATTGGGTGGATTCTGTTTGGCTGTCAATGTTTTTGTTGTTTATAAGTTGGAAAATATTGCTCTGAAAGTGATTCCAATTATATTGTACCTCTGTGTTGTATTGGTGTGAACTGGCCTAACTGTAACACCATTTTGTTAAGAATAACTCTTTAAAGGAGTAATTCCTCCCAAAAGAAAATTCTGTCATTATTTACATGACAGTTATTTCAAACTTAATACATTCCACACTACCACACATGCATTTTTTGTACATTTGCACAGTGATTTTTTTTTTTTACTAAATTTAATGTATATGATAAATAAAGTAAATAAAGTAAAGTAAATTATGATAAGTAAATAAATGTACAAATGTTTACAAATTATGTTTGTATTTAATCAATTAGATTAATTAATTATTAAAATTAGATTAATTATGAAAAAAAAAAGATTTGTAAAGATATTACTAAAGCTGTGCATACATTTTTTTACCTTTTAGATATTGTCGGTACATTTATATTGCATGTTTCAATGTATATCCAAACACAGACAAAAACGTAAGTGTAAATATTACTAATCAATACCTACAAATACTAATGAGTTTGACCTGGGCCTGGGACTAATTTTATGGTGCTTGTAAAGACTATTTTCTTTGATTATATGGAAAAGAGCAGCATGAACATTCTTCAGAATTTGTTCTTTTGTCATCAGTGGCAAAAAGAAAGTCAAGAAAATCTTGGAACAACATAAGGATGAGTAAATGACAGGATATTAATTTTAGGGTGAACATTTCTTTAACAGGCTAAATCATTTTTCTGCCTTGCACACATTGTGGAAACAAAGAGGAAAATCTCTTGACTGTACATGTCGTGAGTCTTGAGACTTACAGGGGGAGTTTTTGTGTGGTTGAGTGCGGAGCTCCAGCTCTTGGATGTGTTTGACCAGCAGTGAGAGATGCTGCAGGAGTTCAGTGTTCTGCTGCAGGAGCTGCTGGACTCTAGCCTGAGCTTCGGTCCTGGCGCATGTATGTGTATATATATATATATATATATATATATATATTTAATTTTATTTTATTATTTAATTTAATTTAATTTATATGAATTCAGTTAAATAAATATATATTGTTTATTTAACTGGCCACCAGTCCAGGGTGTCCCCTACTAATAATTTAGAAACAGTTAGGTAGATGTGCAAGTTTAGCTTGCAAGTGTGGGCTTTAATTGGACTTAATGATTGAAGAAGTCCGGTATACATCACCAGAGAATTATGAGGTTAAAATGTTTCTACAAAAATTCAAAGTATGCATGGATGAATCATTCACAATAAGATCTATAACAGGGATTTAGAAAATAGATTCATTGAATAGAATTAATTGAATAGGTGTGTAGGGTATCAGAGCGAATCAGACCATTTAAGATTCGATCAGATTGGTGTTAAAACAACCCAAAGCGCCAAATTCCACAAAGAGGCCCAGGACAACAAGACAACGTCATAAATCTGTCCACGATACACTGGCGCCACGAGTCAGAAGCAAGTCCACCAGCTAGCAGCTTTGAGCATTCTCACAGCATTAAAACAAAAGAACACATTGATAATCCCAACTCAGGAAGGAGATTGTCAAATTTGGGGCAAGTAACCAAGATTAATGGTCAAAGAGATGCACAGCATGACCATCACATCTAAATCCATGATAGAAATCATGAGCTAAAGACTTCCTTGGATTGACTTCCCCCACCTAGCAGACAAAGACCAGACTGAGATTCCTTCTAAACCCTTTTGACCTTTGGTCTTCATAGAACATGTCGTAACGTTCACAGAATGGCACAGAAACTGCCTTTACATGTATATATGCACCAAAATGATGCTAAAAGGACTTATATGAGCAACTATCACTTCTATACATAACTCCATATCATGTATGTAACCCACACATTTGACTATCATGTCCTAATCACTCATTGTGTATGTCTTTTGAATAACTATTGAATAGTTTATAGGTTTATATTCATGTTGGGTATGTATGAGTTTGAAAATGCATGCTTTAAACATTTCTATCAATCAATACTTAGTAAAATTTATTATATTCTTGTTATAGAAATCATGTCCAAAGTATACTCTGCAAGAGCGGGAAAATTCGGACCCTATGACTGATAAGATAACATGTTGATTTATGTATTGGGAGGAGAAACATAGCAACACCCCGAGCTAAGACAATGTCTAATTGGTCAAGACACCATTTGGGATGTGTCCAGCAGCCCAGTTTAAATACTCAGGACACCATCAAATTATGCTTTTTGCCTTAGGGCTTTTGCCACCACTGCTTTTCGCCATCGCTTTTTGCCGCTGCTTTTTAGCGCTCTTTGAGCGTGCTCTGGCTTACATGCCAGCTGCTCCTCTAAAAACAATGAGGAGGTACGCCATCTAGTCTTGTCTTCTACTTTAATTTCTTTTATTTTCCGTTGAGAGCTTCGTGTTCTGAGTTAAGTTTTGCTGCCGTGTCTCCATGGCCGTCGCTAGTGGGGTGAAAGGTGGTGATGATTATAGGGGCCCATTGCTGTGGGGGCCCCCCGGGGATTTCAACCAACTGCCCGAGGCCAGCATGAAAGACACTCAGGACAGTTGACGGGCCACTGCTGCGTGTCGTCACAAAAGCTTATCATTTGCACATGTTTTTTAACCTCGCCAAAACATCCAAGAGATTTTAAAGCATTCAAGCACAAGATGTGAAAGAACTCAACTGAGTACTCGCGCGCTGTGTTCGGTGTGCACACAGAGTGCCGCATCTAGCGCAAACACCAAATTGACGCTCTTTCGCGTCTTCTTGTGATTGAACAAACAAATACACCTCGCCAATTTAAACATTCAAGCACAAAAATCTTGTGTTAGGATGGCTATTCGTGCGAGTTTCATGTTAGAACAGGCCAGGTGAGACGAACGTCAAGACATGCAACTTTATTGCCTAACTCCCCACTCCCCCACTAGGGGGCAGTAGTTAACATATCACCGCATCCCCCTTTCTTAGATCAATTTATTTACTCCACTTTGGCCATTCCTCTGGTTTTGAGAAGTCGAACTTTTGTGGTGGCGGTACCTGAAACTGATCTATTTTCTCTTTTTACGCAGCTCTCTTCTCTGCACGTGATGAACGATCTCTTGTCTCTGAATTGTCACATGAAATAGCATGAATTGTATGTACCACTCATGACGAAAGGGCTCTCTATGTCCTCCTACGCCGTTCTCATGCAAACTTCTGACACCATGTTGTGTTAGGATGGCTATTCGTGTGAGTTTCGTGTTAAAACAGGCCAGGTGAGACGAACATCAAGACATGCAACTTTATTGCCTAAACTCCCCACTCCCCCACTGGGGGGCAGTAGTTAACCATAGCACCACAAAAAAGATGCGAAAGAGTTTCATTCAGTACCCACAGCCCTTGAACACCGAATTGAGTTTTGCCTCTTCTTGCGCTTGAATGGGCAAATTACATACAAAATGTCGAAATACCTACCTTGGCGAGTATTCTCGAAAAAAACTGTCGGTTATGACTTAAGTGAACGTAAGAAGTTGAGAAAGAAATCGGATGTGTATCATTATATTGGATCTATGCATTGTCTCTTAAAGTGACCGTGCCTAATTTATTAGCTTTTGTGTCTTTAATGTTAATCCAAGAAAATAAAAGAGAAAATCACTTACTGCTGTTGACTGAATTACTTTGTAGTTTTAACAAGAATTAATCTATATTTAATTTATACAGTGCAGACTGCAATGATATTTTACATTTAATTATTTAGTTTCTATACCTGAACACCTACAAACTTGAAAAAATGTAAACTTGTAAATTTGAATCGTTAAATTTGTATCGTTGTTCTATTTATTTATTTGTGCTATTTACACGATTTCAGACAGGGCCCATGGGTACAACCTGCACCGGGGCCCCGCAAACCCCAGCTACGGCCCTGCGTGTCTCCGAGTCCAACTCCGACTGTGCTCGAATCAAAACTTCAACTTCAAGACATCACTCCGAATGACTACTGAACTTCCAGCCAATCAACAACCTTGGGAAACCCCTTTCTGCAAAGACAACAACAAAGGGAATCCCCCACACAGGCAACGCAAGTACCTCCAGATTCTAGCTGAAATGGTGCATTTATTGTAAAGCTTAATAGCCTCATTGAGAAACTCATTGCGAGGTTTAAATAAATGATTGATGGCTGTTCAGGTCTAAGCAATTGCACATATTGCTATAAACTTGTGATTTCACAGTTTCACTCTCCTAAACTCTTTCTTTCCTCACTTTCTCTCTTTCTACAACTTGTGTGAATGTGTGAGCGCATATGTTTGTGTTAGATTAGTTTCTGTCTTATCCAATAAAGCCTTATTTATATTGAAAATATAATTAATAGTGTTTTCACTATATTTTGGACTTTAATATCCATTGCAGAGTTGATGTTATACAGCTCGTTCAATGAATCACTGGCTGACTCAGTGATCAGCCGTAAAACAGTGATTCTGTCCAAATTCCCTATAAAATCAAAAAGAATTCCCTTTGAGCTAAATTGACCTGTTTCCATTACAGTGAATAGATAGATGAATTTTTATTATAAATACATTTAAATATAATCTTTATCAAATTTTAAAGTGAATATGTAATATTCATACTATAATGCTGTGATGCCTAAAATCACTTGTAGCATTTAAAATGAATGACTTTGCATTTCAGTTTTAATTTATTTAGAGAAAGGATACTGTCTATTTAATAGTTATTAGCCAAAATTAAAATAACGTAAAAGATTATTGGTTTATCGTATTGGCCGGAAAAAAAATAAAAAATAAATAATGGCTGAACAATTCATGAAACAAAAGCAGTGCCACAGATATGTTTTATATATATTTATTCCATGGTCTGTCTGAATACTGGATTCTGACTGGCTGGCAGGTATGCATTAAAACCATTTAATGCACAGGTAGTTCCAAGTCAGTTTAATCACCATTCCATATTAATGCACTGCTTTAACTGATGCACACAAACACACTCACACACATATCACTTGCACACACACACAGAGGGAGAGAGAGAGTTCGGAGATCGCAGATTGCACTGCGAACGCACGCACATAAACTTGTCAACGCTTCCCAGCGATTTTTTAAAATAAAATAGCCTAGATACTAGATAGCTACATTATATTATAATTTACGAGGTGGTAAAATCGCTGTTTTTTAAGTAATTATATTATAATGCTACACGTCAATACAGGCAGCATGACAAAGTGCTCAGATGTGTGGTGTGACCTGTGCGGAGGCGGCTTGACTCCTCTGCTCCTGCTGCTGTAACTGTCTCTGCAGGAGCTGCACCTGATGGCTCACGGACAGAGGACTGGAGAGAGGAGACGCCAGCCTGGATGACTCCATCACCAGCACCGGCTCTTCACACACCTGCATGGAGAAAATAGGAGACACATGCTGTTTACTACCAACAAATTAACTTTAATGTGGTCTTTGCAAAGGATCAGTACATCCAGTTAATTCCAAGGTGCATTAATTGTAACTCTGGGATCTATTAGTACTTTTGAAACGTATCACACAGTGAGAATAGTCTAGTTTGTTAGTTAACAGGCATGGCAGTATTGTTTCTACCAACCTACCATATTCAAGAACGATACACCAACTACATCCTTCCTGGAGTGACCTGCGGTGTCTTATTTAAACACCTCCTTTGGTGAAAATCAAGTTTTTAACAATGTTTATATGTCTATGTGGTGTTTCTAATACGGTTAAAGACAAACCATGTTTCACCACAAATTCATCTGTCTACACCACTGCTGAGCATTTTCTCCTGTACCAAAGATAGTCTCAAAAAATGCAGTTTGATTCCAACCATCACAAACTGAATTTGTTTACAGTGAAATATACAGTATCACTTGAAACTCAGGCCTAAAGGAAATGTAAACAATGATAAACACTTGTCTCATATGTTTGCTCCTGTGATTGGCATAAGTTTGAAAAAACATCAGCAGATTCACAGAACCGATCAAAGAACACACAGCTTCAGCCGTATCAAAGCAAGTCATTCTGCAAACCATTACAAGTACATGAAAGCTTTAACCTCCTAAAAACTCCCCAGTGATCGAATATGTGTCAGCAGCATCGACAGCTTTCATGTCATATTCATTAGAGTCATGCATCTAAAATGTGTTTCCTTAAATGCAATTCATAAATAATCCCCATCATAACTGGAAGAAGTTTGCATGTTAATAAACAAGACTTATTTTAAAATACCCTCAATTTCGTTCATATAGTTTTTACGTTTTTAAGGAATTAAACTGATTCTGACTAAGTGTTATTACAGATTTCAAAGAATTACATGACACTTTAACTAAAATTGGCTGGTAATTATTCATCTTTTAGTCCTACTTGTGATCATGGCCCAATTTCTGACCTATAAACCATGTAGGATGAGCAAACTGTAGCATCTATAAATAACTCAAAACAGGCAACGCTTGAACTATATTTAAAAAGACAACACCTGAGATCTCTTCTGCCTTCCAGTTTCTTCTTAAAAAGCAAGGCTTTCTGTTGGCAAACATTTTACTCAATATAAAAAACATGTCAACATAAAAAATATGTAATTGATGAGGAATAATTAAGACAAATGAATACATATTTCTTTCAGATTTTCTGCTAAACTTTACAGTCAGACAGAAGACTTACCTTTTCATCTTTCTCTAGCCCAGTGTTGCTTGATCTCTCAGCGGTGCCGCCAGCAACTGAAGTCTCGTCTTTGCTTCTCTCCTCCTCACCTTTTACAAGCCATGCTGCAATTCAGATTAATCACATCATTTAGAATAAAAAAATCATCAACTGCCAGTTTCACAGGTCCAGACTGAGTCTGTTTCTAGTTCACATGACAATACAAATGATTGATTTATGTTAACAACTATTTTTTTGTCCAAGACAAGGAACCTTCCAAAACCAAACATAGGACTAAATAATTGTATCAAATATATTATGTAGTAACATTTAGTATATATATATATATATTAAGTAACATTTTGGCTCATATTTATCTAAAAAATATTGATTTTGAATATTTTTTTTAATTAAAGAAAAATGTTTTCTTTGTGTGAATGTGAATATTTTTAATTCATATTTCAGAATTATTTAAGGTTTGAAGCAACCCATAAATATAATTTGATTGAAGCTAATAAGTTTGGCTGTAACAAATTAACAAATTATTTTAGAATTGGTCGAAGGTATCATTTATTTTTCAGTGCACAGACCATATTTTCTTTTACAAAATAAATATCTAAGTTGCTTTGAAACTGTGATGAAGATAATGACAATAAAGATTTTTCATTTGTATTATATTTGTATTTTGCTGAGTTTAATTATTTTAATTTGTCTCCAATGCAAGTGCCACACAATGAAAGTTCGGATGAAATGTGGTTCATGTTTGATAAAATGAAATGTGAGTGAAAGTCAATGTCTCCTCACCGTCAGCATTGTCTAGACTCTGTTTATGGCACACCTCAAACGCCTGACCCACGGTCCGCACTATCCTCATGGCTTGGCTCTGAGACACAGACAGCAGATCTTTAAGCGACCAGGGTTTATTGAACATGTCAAACATGCTTTTCCACATGCAGGTAAACATTTGTAGATTTTCAGCTAAAAGCTTTACTTTGAGAGACAGAAGAATTAATTCACCTTCAACAGAGGAAAAGAGATTTATAGGAATGAATGACAGATATAAGGAAAAGAGAAGGAGTGAGTGAGAGAGGGAGAACATTACACCCATAAGTCAATTCCACATTATAGTGGTGCTGTCAAAGCGATGGATTAGTTCATTTCAGATGGGCCCTGGTGCTGTAAACAAAACCCAAGCCAAAGACACTCATATCAAGCAGCTTATGCCAACACCACTTTCTTTTTCTGTAGAAAACAGACAATCTTTTGCAGGTTAAAAATATCCCACAAGACAAAGTTTGCAAAAGAATTATTTAGAATCGCACTGAATAGTAGTTTTTGTTCATTAAACTGAATTGTTAAAGTAATAGTTCACCCAAAAATGAAAATTCTGTCATTAATTATTCACTCTCATGTCGTTCCAAACCTGTAAGACCTTCATTCATCTCCAGAACACAAAAGCTCTCGGATTTCATAAAAAATATTAATCAATATTTTTGATGAAATCCGAGAGCTTTCTGACCCTGCATAGACAGCAATGCAACTGACATGTTCAAGGCCCAGAAAGGTAGTAAGGACATTGTTAAAATAGTCCATGTGACATCAGTGGTTCAACCTGAATTTTATGAAGCTATGAGAATACTTTTTGTGTGCAAAGAAAACAAAACTAACTTTATTCAACAATTCTTCTCTTCCATGTCAGTTTTCGCCACAGCCTTACTACGTTTCTGTGCCTTGATCGTGGTAGTACCCTTGCTGTCTGTGCAGGGTCAGAAAGCTCTCGGATTTGATCAAAAATATCTTAATTTCTTTTCCGAAGATGAATGAAGGTCTTACGGGTTTGGAACGACATGAGGGTGAGTAATTAATTACAGAATTTTCATTTTGGGTGAACTAACCCTTTAAGTTGATTTGTTGTTTTGATTTAGAGTAACTTAATTTGGTATGTGCAGAAAAAAGTTTAATTTGATTATTTTTAGTGATTTATATATATATATTTTTTTTTTTTACATTTTGTACAAGTTTTTACTACACACACAAAAAACTTAATTCTGTATGATTTATAAGCTTGTTTCATCATGGGGACTAAAAAATGTCCAAAAATGTCAAAATTTACTGGTATTACTATCCTTGTGGGGACATTTGGTCCCCATAATGTGATAAAATATATATATATATATATATATATATATATATATAGCCTATATACTGTATATATGGGCCATTCTACAGAATTGGTGCAAAGTCAGAGTTGGAAATGTTTTGAAAAAAGAACGTCTTTTCCCCTCAAATTTGGTATGTATGCAAATTGTATGATATCTAAGGTACACATTTCTAGTAATTGTGCAGTTATTTCTCATATTGTATTTTCAGAAAGTTTTGGAATATTTTCCCTCTCCCCAAATTTATCATTACCGAAACACAGTAATACCGTATATAATTTAATTAGAAGGGTTATACTGGCCTATTAAGATTTTGTTTACATCTACCTTGTAAATATATATTTTTGCTATTTTATTAAAAGGTTTAGAGGTAAATCAATAACAATTACAATTTTAACAATATTTCAAGTGTGATTTATGAGATTTGTTGTATTTTGAATTCAATTTTTCTTTGTAAAAGGCATAAAGTTGGCCATACAGATTTCAGAGTTAGGGATTAATTAGTTTGAATATACATTGAACCAAACACTATCATAACATCTTAGTTGATAATTCAATATTTTATTTTTGACAAAACATCCCATGTTTGACCACATCACATTACAGAATTTTAACTCGCATATAAAACACTACTAAAACATACTAAAATACTACGAATTTGCATAACTCAGGGGTTAAAGCAAAAAAAAAGGTAGGGTTATTTGGTAAGAGTACATTATTTGAAAATGATTTTCCTTAAAACTAACTAATGTATCTGCCATTGCCATTAGCCATTGACAGGCTCAGACTACATATTATGGTGGGCAGCAATACCAAGAAAGGTTACTCACTACAATTGTAACACCCCTGTGGACTGTTCATTGTGGTTTCTTCCCCTTTTGTTGGTTGAGCCCGTACTAATTATTAGTTAATCACCTCATTGTGCTCACCTGTCTGCCCCTCGTTATCTGCCCTATATCTGTTCCTGTCTCTTGTAGTCAAGTTTGTCGTGTGTCTACATTAAAAGTCATTGTTGGAGTCCTCGTCGTCCTGCCTGCCTCCACACACCGTGACAGAATAACCGACCAACAAGTAAAGTATAGTGGCGTCTTTCACCTTGTTTGTTTTTCCGTTTTTTTGTCAGTTTTTATTTTTATGGATTACCCCGCCTTCCAAATTCTCCTGCTGGAGCAGGGGGAACGCTCTCTTGAGGACCACACGTACGACTTTCTGTCCCTGGCTCACCTCACGCACTACCTGGACAACTGCCTCTGTACATTCTATTAAGTTGGACTTAACGCCACCACACGAGCGCAGTTGTCCGGGGATGGTCCTCGAGAGAGCCTCGCCGCCTTCATCGAGTGGGTGCTGGAGTCCTGCAAGTCCCATCTGACCGTGGACATCGCTGACAACAACACCAGCCCCACTCAGGACCCTGAGCCCAGCCCACCATCTCCCCGCTTCTACGGTGTGAGGACGCACCTTCCGGGAGGGGGGAGTAATGTAACGCCCCTGTGGACTGATCATTGTGGTTTCTTCCCCTTTTGTTGGTTTAGCCCATAATAATGATTAATTAATCACCTCATTGTGCTCACCTGTCTGCCCCTCGTTATCTGCCCTATATCTGTTCCTGTCTCTTGTATTCGAGTTGTTGGTTATTGTGAATGTTACCCTGAGTGTGTGTGTCTCTCCTTCCTGTATCTGCCTGGTTGTGTCTACATTAAAAGTCATTATTGGAATCCTTGTCGTCCTCGTCGTCCTGCCTGCCTCCACTGTGTCTACATTAAAAGTCATTGTTGGAATCCTTGTCGTCCTGCCTGCCTCCACACACCATGACCGTGACAACAATATGGTGCAAACACATGTAACATTTAGGATGCTTTTGATATCAAGTTTTGCTGGTTAGCGTTGTCCTTGACAGGGTACAAGATGACCAACGATCTAAAACATGACATTTCTGAAATTTTGTTCAAAAGAAATAATGGTAAATTAAATAATAGGAAATTAATATATATATAATAGGACACTTACAAAGACAGTTTACTACAGAAAACTACAGTTCAGTTCAATAAACAACAAAAACATCGTGCTCCAAGAACTGGTAACTTGAACAGGGTTCGTACAGATACTGCAAAATGAAATTCCAGGACTTTCAAGGACTTTTCATGCACTACTTTTTTGGTTTTCAAGGACTAATCAAACAATATCATTATCTTTCAAATTCTAATAAATAAACTAATAAAACAAAATGGTACAAAATTAGTGCAGCACATGCAATGCATATTGGAAATTTTAAGTTTCTATGGAAACTTCATGAGTGTGTGTGTGTGTGTGTATATATATATATATATATATCAGTATTCCTGAAGAATGAAAGCTATATCATACACTTGGAAAATTCGGAGCTATATCACCGCTTATCGACACTAGGGGTGTGACAACACACTTAGCTCACGAGATGAGACAAAGTGCAGATACTTGATTCACTACAACGATACAATATTTGAATAGGATACTATTTTGAAGAAATTTTCAATGACAAAAAGTAAAACAATGCAATTGTATTTTGAAATGTTTTAACTAATCTAGGGCCGTAACTAATGACTATTTTGGTAATCAAGTAATCTACTGATTATTTTTGACAACTCAGTAATCTGATATTTTTTTGTAACACAAATAGACCTAATTGAAAAACGGGCTTTAGTATAATTATATTTATATATAGACTAATGATGAAGCAATAATAATTGGCTCAAATGAAGTATCAAAACCAAGTAATTACACGGTTTTATTATTTTTGTATTATTTTGTATTATTTTATTTTATTACCGTATTGACCCGAATATAAGACGATGTTTTTTTTCTTGGAAATACATCTGAAAAAATGCGGTCGTCTTATATTCAGGGTCTAGACTTTGACATGTCAATAATACACCCACAACAATAGGTGGCGCCAAATATGCATAATATGAGTGTGCCATGAAATATGTAATGTAATGCGTGTTGTAAAGATCGCGAGTAAAAACAAAAGAAAAAGAAAACCTTACAGCTGCATGAGTCGTGACTGTCACGTTAGCCTGATGGGACCAAACTCCCTTTGTGATTTTAAAACGCAAGACAGTACCCAGATTTGAAGACTACAGTAAGATTTAACTTCCACTGTTAATAAGTTTTTGGTAGGCTATTAGGCCTATTAGATGGATAGCCTAAATGTCCTAATTCAGATGGGCTACCTGTTTTTTTTTTTTTAATGGTATATCAAAAAGTGTATATTTTTTAAATGTGATTGTTGGTACATTTTACCAGTTTTTACCATACTTTCAAAACAAAAATTAAACTAGGGAAAATATGCAATATTAAAATAATTGAAGACAAAATGTATTTCACTGAGAAAAAACAAGATTTGGTTTTTAAAAAGCCTTTTTCCAAAAGGTACATCTAGAAAAAGGGGGGTCGTCTTATAATCAGGGTCGTCTTATATTCGGTATATGTCATGAACATAACCAACTTAAGTACATAATGTATTATAACAAATACCTGCAGAGGGCACCAGTGGCCTGGTGATGTTTCACTTTACAGCGTGATTCAATGACGTTTAAATGTAAATTTTTATATTAATATATTTATATTAATTTTAATATTTGGCCAAATCCAAACTCAGAAACTTTTATTTTGAAATCGTGATGTACAATAAATCGCATATTTAGAAATATGTTGATGTATTCTCCTGTTTTGACAAAGGCTTATAAATGATTTACGTTACAAATCTAGTGAGATTTAATGCACAGTTTTCCCAGATGAACATTAAGCAACCCAAACTCAAAGCATATGCAGAGGAAGATTTTAGCCCCTTTCACACTGGTAAATTGCCGTTAAGAGATCATGTGTGAACAGTCCCTTTTCAAAAATACAGGTAAATTCGTACTGGCAATCATATCATTCTTATGGAGATGACGTGATTACTCTGAGCTGTTTACAAAGCTCCGCTGCTTTTTAATAGCTTTTCTATGTAAATATGCTTTGACCATTGCGCCACGCAGCTTTTTCGACGTGCTGCTCTCGAGACCCAGGCTTTTTTTCCATTCATCAGAGCTGCGACTCTGGATAGGCTACTATTCTTCTTTTTTTGGTTTTATGGCGGGTTGCGAACCAACTTCATAGGTGCATACTCTGGATACTATTATGTGTGTCTCTTTGGTTGAGAGTGAAAGCTGTGTACCTCTCATACCATTGGTAGGCGAACTCACGAACTCGAACGTGATAACAACTTTTTGTTAAATGTAGGGCTTTTTTTCCACAGCCAAATGCCACATGCCGGAGATCCGGCATAGCGCCAGAAAACTTTAAGCCCTGATAACTGTACTAAAATTGTGTTTATTTCCCCCAAATAAAGGATTATGTGTTCCCTTTGGTCACTACCGAAACAATGATGACATGTTTTGGTCTTGACTGTTTCGGTAGTGAAAATTTTACACTTTTGAGCCTACTTCAAAGATGCAAATCAGCACATGGATACCTAGCGCAGTTCTGAACAGTGGTACACATATAAAAACTAAATGTTATGAAATAACACCCAAAAAACGTGTGCTTAATTGCAGAAAAAAAGGTGTTTGGTAGTGACGTTCCTTAAAGTTACACAGATTTTCAGACTTTTGAAAACAATATACCTCAAAATAATGTGACCTATCTACTCACACCTTGTAGCTACTGTATAAGTCAAAGTCAAATGTCTGCTTTATTGTCAATTCTTCCACATGTACAGCACATACATACAGAAAATTGAAATTGCGTTACTCTCAGACCCTTGGTGCATACAGATAACACTAACAGTAGAACGTAAAAATACAGATAAATACAGATTAAATATATATAAAATACAACTATACAAATAAGGACATGTAAAAAAAGATGAATAAAGCAGCACAAGGCACATGACAGATAGAGTGCAAACCAGTGAAATAAACAAACAGTGCAGATATAATGATTGTAGTGCAAAAGAGCTTATTCAGTCTGATTAAAGTGACAAAAAGCTCAGAGAGCAGTTCTTTATTTAAACTGTCAGAAGAGGTAGTTGAATGAGGTCAATGCTGAATGAGATAGTGAGCAGACCAAAGCTGCACAAAATGACTGGTGCAGGTCACAGTGTGTTAGTGGGAGGGGGGAGTGGAAGGACCTGGGGATGTGGGAGCTGGGGGGGGGTCTGAGGTTCAGAGTTCAGTGGTGCATGGGGCAAAAGAGGGGAGGAAGGGCAAGGTCGGGAGGGAGTTCAGCTTCCTGACAGCCTAATGAATGAAGCTGTCCTTCAGTCTGCTGGTCCTGGCCTGGAGACTCCGCAGTCTCCTCCTGTGATGTACGCGCTACTGTCTGTAGCCTATGTGTGTGTGTTAGAGTGCAGCAGCGCATTAGATTAGAACGGCAATTAACTTACCTGTGCAATAAGCTGTTTAAAACGTGCATTCTCCCGTTCAATTTCGAGCATCCAGTAATATAATCACACATGTCTTGTGGAGCGCTTTCAGACTTCGGGACTGGAATGATGGTGGTGGCTTTGAAGCATGTGGGGACAACAGCCTGGCTTAGCGAGATGTTGAAAATGTCTGTGAAGACATCAGTGAGTTCCACTGCACCGTCTCTCAGTACACGCCCAGGAATGTTGTCAGGAGCCGGAGCTTTGCATGCGTTGATCCTGCTGAGGGATCATCATCACCTGGTCGTTGGGAGGAGGTGGAGTCTTCTGTACAGTGGTGCTGTTTTGTGCCTCAAAGCGAGCGAAGAAGGCGTTCAGCTCGTTCAGCAGAGAGATGTTGCTGTCACAGGTCCGCGGTGGGGGCTTGTAGTACGTAATGGTCTGTATCCCCTGCCACAGGCTCAGAGTGTCTCTGCTGTCGCTGAAACGATGGGCTTTCCTCCTGGAGTACTGTCTTTTTGCCTCTCTGATGCCGCGGGAAAGGTTGGCCCTAGCTGTCTTCAAGCCCACCTCATCTCCAGCTCTGAAGGCAGCGTTCCGCATCTTCAGGAGTCCGTAGACCTCCCCTGTTAGCCACGGCTTCTG